TGCCACATTTCTCCTCATAGAGCCCAGCATCCTGGATAATCTGCTCCACATATAGATTGAAAAGATATGAAGATAGAACACATCCTTGGCATACATTCTTCCCAATTTTGAACCATGCACTGTTTCCTTGCTCTGTTCTGATGACTGCCTACTGGCCAAAGTATATGTTTCACATAAGCACAATCAAGTGTTCTGGGATTCCCATTCTTCTCAGAGTCAGCCACAGTGTTTTGTGATCTACAAAGTCAAATGTCTTTGCAAAGTCAATGAAACACAGACATTCCTCTAGTACTCTGCTTTCAGCCAAGATCCATCTGACATTAGCTATGATTTCCCTAGTACCATAGCCTCTTCTAAACCCAGCCTGTACTTCAGCCAGTTCTCTGTTGTTGTGCTATTCCAGTCATTTCTGGATAATCTTCAACAGAATCTTGCTTGCATGTGATAGCAGTGATATTGCTTGATAATTTCCACACTCAGTCTGGTCATCCTTCTTTGGAATGGGAACAAATACAAATCTCTTCCAATCAGTTAGCCAGATGGTTGTCCTCCAGATTTCTTGGCACACCTGGTGAGCACATCCAGAGAAGCGCTGGTTTATTCAATGGAATTAGTTGATTTGCCATCAATTCCTATAGCTTTGTTTTATATGATATAAAGAGAAAAGATAAGCACTATATAATTTGTGATTTTTTTTAATGAATTAGCTCACATAATATTCTTAGAATAGTGCCTGGCAAATAATACACATCAATATTGTTAGGTTATCTTTACCGAATGAGCCATTTGGATTTAGTTTTGGTGATCCCATTTTTGTTCATAACATCCAGAGTATTATAGTCAAGAGCAATTGAACACAGTCTTTCATCTCTCCATCAGGCCTAATCAAGGTGTTGAAGTTGGCCCCATCAGTGTCATAGAGCTTTTTTTAAAATAAATCTTTATTATTATTAATTTTAATGAAAATTTACAGAGACTTTGGATTTCCAATCATTCATTGTTGCACTTTTCTCCCTGTCCTCCCTCCCCCCCATACACTCGTTGCCATAGAGCTTCTTTACAGCTTGTTTGATTTGATACTTGTTGGCCTTGACATCCACAGTGAATGTTGTTATCAGAACTCTTCATGGCTGACTCAGTGGTCAGGGGACACTTGATAATGGCATAATGATTACTTTAGGTTAAGTTTTGGGAGGGGCATGGGCTTCCTTCTTTGCTTTCGATGCCATCTTCTTAGAAATTTGGGGGGAGGGTGTTATTCATTGTTGTGTTGAGAAGAATTTTAAGATACATACACAAGTTGTATTCTTTGATAATACAGGTCATCTACATGACTCCTTCATATTATAGTAAGATTAATGGTGGCTGTTTTATGAGAATCAGCCATATTTTATGGTCCTTCTTTGTTGCTTTCAGATTGTACCTTAGTTAACTGAACTTGAATGTTCTATGTAATATCAACCATTTTCACACTTGACTTAAATACATGTTAGTCCATTTAAGGGAAAAGTAAAGACCTCATGTCATTGACTACTTTTCATTGATCCATAATGCAAATGTTTCTGAATGGTTGAATTTAAAAAATCCATTTTCTTTATAAACTTTCACTCAAATCCCAAAAGAAAACATTTCCATAGGTATTGAGGTGGGGGAATGACGGATGTTCTTTAAAATCTACATGTCTACCTAACAGAAGAGTCAAAACGCAAAAAACAGAAGTGTAGTAGTGATAAAGAAAAATTGATGCATTTTAGAAGTATGAAGTATAGCATTTTATGTAATTCCTTTCCAACATTTTAAATGAAAATGTTTCAGGAAAGTAAAATGTTATATCATGGAACTCATCCTTGTTTAAGAAAAGAGCAGTTTCTTATATTTTTGGAGAAAGATTTCTTGTGTGATTTACAACCTCTGCACATATGCTGTAAAGTCAGCTTTGAGTCATCTACGTAAGGTTGTATAACAACAACATATCTAACATTCAACATATGTAGCAACAACTTAATGAAACATAGTGTAAATTAACAGTCATAATAAAGATGAGCAAAACCTATTACTAAACCACTGTCTTTGATTTTGTAGGGAATTAGTGATGGTATTCCACTAGTAAAAGCCATTGTTCCCAAAAATCAATCTCGCTCTTTTATGTCTCAAGGCAGTCCCGAGTTATTGGTAAGTGGCTTTATACCTTTATACCTTTCCCCCACTGCTCATTTGCCCTTGCTCACGCACACTCTCTCTCACGTGCGCGCGCTCTCTCTCTCTCGCACACTCTTACGTGCGCGCGCGCTCTCTCTCTCTCTCACATTCCTTTCTGTGTATATATATTAAATCTGTAATAACCTACAAATATATTTAGGAATTGAAGATATTAAAAAGTCTGTCTTAAAAAGATATATCTAGAATTATTTTGACCAAAACTTTAACATTTCTTCTCTTTTTTCAGTGTTTATTTTAAGTAGTTGTCATTCTTAGCTTTTTTCTCAAAGAATAAATAAATAAAAATATGTTAACATATTGCCAGATATTAAACTTTATGATAAAGTTATATAATACAGACTATATAATGATGAAGAGAAACAATATAGAATTAAAAGACACATACATGCAGGGCACCCTAATGAATACCTGACTTTTGTCATCTAATTAAATAATAGTCTTATGAGCTAGGTAGTGGTATTATTTCCCTTCTACAAATAAGAAATTAAAACTTTAAGAACATCATAAAGCTAGTAAATAAGGGATCTGGGAGCCTGGCATATCATGAAATGTAGGTCTGGCTTACTCAAATTTTGTTGTTTAGTAATTGTAATAAAAAGGTATAGTACAATCAGCAACAGAGATTCCAGAATAACACCTGTTTGAGTTATTATATGAATTGTGGTTTTTCTTAAGAAAAAGGCCTAGAAGAAAAATATAGGTCTTTTTCTGAGTGGTGCAATTTATATAATTTTCTTTTTTTCCCCCCAAATTAAATAGGATCAAAATAATATCTAGGCAAAGACAATCAAGCCAAGGCTCACAGAATAAAAACCCACCCAAATGTTCTCTCTTGGGCCAATGCATTATAATTTTCTATTTTAATACTTGTAATTTAAAAACTTAACCTTTGTGTTGTTTTTGGGTTTTGCAGTGTTAATTTATTTTACAATGTGGGGAGGCTTCTTATCTTAAAAGACAATATTTATTGTGATTATAATTCCAGTTCCCCAAAAGTTGTGCTTCTAATTTTTCTAAGTGATATAGCTTGTAATTTTTTAAGTCTTAAACTTAAATTTCTTCTGACTGCAAACTAATAGTTGCTAATAAACTTTGAAAGTTATGAGAATAATCTCTTATTTCAGAAGTACAACTCTATTAATTGTGAAGATTGTCATTTAACTTCTGTCTAAGCAATATCTGGCTGCATTGAAATCGATTGTTCCATATGTTTTTGTTTTTGCTGTAAGAGGACACCGTTTTGTTTATCATTTCCACTACTGGTGGTAATAGCAGATCCACCCTTTTGGACAGGTTTCAACATACCTTACAGACTAAGACAGAAGCAGGATGAGCTAGCGACTCTGAAATAATGAGCCCTTGAAAGCCTTGTGGATTCTAGTTGAACATCGTGTGCTTTATTGCCATGACATAAGCTTCAGTTTGGAAGGCAAACATTGACTACACAATGACTATAACAATAGGCCTAAAAACTTAGTTTTAAGGAAACAAAATATATATATAAACATTTGTATACAAACCAAGTTTAAAAAAAAATAATAAACAGCTGAGTTATTTGAGTCGACTTAGTGCCACCTAACAACAATGAGGGCTTTAGAAACTTTAAACCCTGACTTTTGCAACATTATACCTTAGATAGGATACAGTAGAGGAGGCACTGCAAAGGAGGCTCTGCAAGGAGTCTCTTGGGCTTTTTCCAGAGGATAGACAGTATTGGCTGTGGAACCTGCGCTGCATCTGCAGCTATGGGAGGCAGAACAAGTAAATGAGACTCAGTGCGTTCCACTACCACCTGTTCACTCCATGCCAGCCACTGCCCTCTTAGCTACTGCTGCTGTTGCTACTCCTGGTATCCACTCCTTCAGCCTCTGGTCTCTGCTGGCAGCAGTAGAGACAGTCAGTACACCTGGAAGTAGGTATCCATAGAATTTTAATATGGTGTTCACATAACATCCAAATCATATTAACATCCCATTTCACAGAACATATTATGAACAATAAATGACATATATATGAATTTTTATATGTATTATTACATATATGTTTATGTGTTAATTATTACTTTTATTAATATGTCAGTTACTATTGATCGGTGCCTTTTATCACCCAGTCTTATCAAGCTCCCATTGCACCTTTCCTGACCCTTTAACCTCCCCAAACATCTGCTAATCTCTAGTGCCCTAATGCTTTTTTCTCCTTCTCCCTGAATTTTCTTTTCATAAGTTGCAGGCAACTCAATAGCACATAGCAACAACAATAAAAAGTCCTGTATCCTCACATTATAAAAAGAACAGGCTGCGCAAAGAAATATACATTTCACAACTTTCTTTTTTAAAGTTGTCAAATTTCTGTTTATAAAAAGAATTTTTTAAATCTTTAGAAAGATATATTCTAAGTATGTTGAATTTTTAAAGATTTTAATGAATTACGTGTTATACATTAACAAATTCTATGTTTTACGTACACTGTCCCATAATAGTTTCTAAATGATAAATGCCAACATCATGTGCATATTAAGTTCTAATTGTCACTTTTCATCTTTTATTTAACTTTAATGTTTATATGTTTTTTTCCAGATAACAATAAGTATGAATAACGTTATTGGAACGCATGGCTGGTTGCCTTATGACAGAAACATTTCTAATTACTTTACATTCATCAAAGATCAATCTGTGACAAATCCAAAGTAAGTATATAAGTGTTTAAGCCAGAATAGCTCCAGCAGGAGATGATCTTGTTACCAGAAAAAGAACCAGATAAGGTTATAGAGAGCCAGATTTCCTTCCCATCCTCCCTTCATAATTACGTTCTTTGCTCTTTCTTCTTCGTTTTGTTTGTTTTAAGTTATGCCTTGATGCTGGCTTAAAACCAAAACAATTTCTGTAATATCAATTATGGGAATAAAACTATTTGGGAGTTGATTTTAGACTTAATTATAATTTTATACTATTATTTATAAATAAACTCAATAGTCTTTATGTAATAGTAAGTCATTGTTTAGTTATTTTTTAAATATTGAATGATTATATTCAGATTTAAGGTAGTATTTCCCTTGCTCGGAGTTTTCTTAGCATATATGTTCGTTTATATTGTTCAGTTAAATTACAACTAATACTCAGTGCTATTTTTAGTAACAAATTATGTCCTGTGTTTCAAATCTACTTAAAATGTTATCATATTTTTTTTATCTTCCCCAACTAGACTTGAAAGTATGTGAGATTAGAAGTAATACCATCTTTTACTTTTTATCCAACATAGTACTTGCTGGATGGTCAGCTATCAGTTCTGTTGTGCTTTGCACAAAGCTGACTCCTAAAACATTAATAAGAAAAATCTGGAGCTGAAATGTCAGAATCTGCCCTTGTTTTCTGCAAATGCAGTCCATGGCATGTAATTATTACTTCTTTTCATCTTTCTGAAAAATCTAAATTGGCTAAGCTCACAAACATACCAGTTAGAAACAAAATCTAAATGCCTAATTTGGTTGGACTAGAAAGCAGTCTTCATGAGTATTGTTAAGTGTTCATTTATCTACCTCATTTATCACTGAGTGGTAAATCTCTGGTTTACTTTGCCTATTATTTTCCTATCCTTTGAATATTTCATGTTATCTTTTATACTTAGAGGCTCATATTTTCAGAACTATCAATTTCATTAAATTGGCTTTGAAAGTTAAGATTTAAAAGCTTTTCATACATTCAACACTTCTTATACTTAATCCCTGAGACAATTAATTATGCATATTTTTATTTGAGACCAGATTTTAAAAAGGACTAACATATTTTATGAGTACAGTTTATTGGTAATCATTACAAATTGAACAGTTGAGATTTTTCTTTTGTCTTCAGAGTGATAAAAGAAATAGTTTATATCAGTCTACATTACTTTTGAAGAAAAAATCTAATTGTTAATTATACTTACAGAACGCAGCGTTGTATGAATGGCCCTTTTGCTCCAGGACTGGAAATAACGTCTAAGCTATTTGTAGTATCACATGATGCAAAATTGCTCTTCAGTGCCGGACATTGGGATAATAGCATTCAAGTGATGTCACTAACAAAAGGCAAAATTATCTCACACAATATCAGACATATGGGTAAGCATCTGTCCTACCCTTGTTTTCTTTATTTTTTCTCATCATAAAAATAACTCATGCACTTGTAAAGAGCATGAAGTTTTATCTTTAAAACTAAGTGAAATTACTGATGGCATAATAAAAAATTTTTTTATAAAGTCCTGTCGGATTTACTTTACCTATATTAAAGCATCTTGAACATTAAATAATACTTTAGATTATATGAAAAACATTAGACTGTTAGGTTTTTTAAAATGAATGATGAAAATAATTTTTAGTCAAAATGTGAATAAATACAAACTTTAGTAGTTAAATGAAAGGGATCTCTGATGCTGTCATCTGTAGGGAGTCAGTTTACTAACCCAAAGGCAAAGCGCTTGTTTAACAGTTCAAATCCACTAGCAGTTTAGTAGGAGAAAGACGAACAGTTTCCTGCTGTGCAGTTTATAGCTTCTGAAAATACACTAGAGCTATGTATGAGTCACTTGCAACTCAAAGGCAGTAAATTTCATTTAAAGAAAACATTTCCTCTATAATACTTGGTTAAAACTAAATCATGAAAGAGTAAAAATATTTAAGTAATTTGGATTTGGTAGTTTTAAGTGCATATAAAAATGAAAAACTTCCTTATAAATGACTCTTAAGATGATAACACTTAGTCCAGGGAAAATATATTTTACCATATAAATTAATATTACAAAAGATGGACAGTCCCTTTCTTAATTTATAGCTTCAGAAAACCTACTGGATGACTCAGCTGTGAGTTGATTCCAGCTCAGCAGCAATGACTGATTGAATATGTATAGAAAATATATTCTGTTTTCCTTAAGATACATTCTGTAAGATTATAATGCCTACTGGAAGTAGAATGGGAATGAAAGCGGAGAAGCTCATTAAAAATCAACTAGAGATTCATTTCAGGGTACTTGGCCTCCTCCAAGATTCTGATTTGCATTCTTAAGTCTCTGCCTCTACTTCTCACCTTCAAAAACGGACTTTAAAGAAGCACTCACAGATGATTTGGATATTTTCACTTTTTCCCAGTAGCATTTGCCCATTAGAAATCACTGATTTAGTTAGTAGTTAGAATCCAAACTAAAATTTCTTTTGAAGTTCTCTTTCACCAAAACTAAGATTTTTTTTTTCTTTTTCTCTTTTTAAAACAGATATTGTGACTTGCTTAGCTACAGACTATTGTGGGATACATTTGATTTCTGGTTCCAGAGATACGACATGTATGATATGGCAAATAATACAGCAGGTAGCCACACAGTTAAATATTCTTCATCTCTTTCGTATTTGTTGTTTATATGTATTACTCATTTGGGCAGACTTGCTTAGCTATGGAGTTGGGTTGCCTGTTTTGTCTGTGGAAGCACATCACCAGGCCTGGTTCTTCTGACGTAGTACTGGGTGAGTTCAGACCAGAACCTTTCAGTTCCTTGTTGGTTGCAGACTATCTGTGCTACTCAGGTACCTTAGGGAGTTAGTCTACTGCTAAACCAAAAGCTGTGCCTGTCTGGCAATTTAAATCTGCCAAAGATTTTAAGGGGAATTTACAGCCCCAGACCCTGAGGAAGGATTACAGTAAGTCAGAACTGACTTAATGGTAGTGTGTTTGAGTTTTTGCTTGGCTCCTTAGTGGAATGCTCCAGGACAATTGACAGTGGCCCTTACTTAACCTTTGAATTGTGACAAAACTTACCTTGATGGCTCAATTTTCAAACAGAAGACAGGCTAGCATGATGACATATAACACCAGAAGCTCACTCCTTAAAATACCCAACCATATTGTGTTATAAGAACAGAATTTACCCAAGGATAAAGCTATGAAGGAGGCACAAATAACGATAGAAAGCTTCATGTAAATGAGAACCATAGGCAGAAAGTAGCCCAAGTGCCATTACTTTGTAGATATTATAATTAATGTAAAACAAAAGTCTGTATGAGTACTTAAATTAAAAACTAATATGTTTTGTAAATGTTCACTTGAATCATAATTGAGACTAAAGTAGATAAAATTATTATAGCCTTTAACAAAGTTATGATAGCTGTAGAAATCAAAGTGTAGTTAATGTACAGATAATTTATGGCCTTGAAATAAAGACTCCAGTTTCCTTCAGGGTTTATGTTGTGGTGTTGTTGTTTGCCATTGAGTCAAGCACAACTCATAGTGACCATGTTATTCTTCTTCTTTGAAGGGAAGAATAAATCTGTTGATCAAAACAGCAAAAAATAGAACTAGAACATTTTTATATGCGACAGTCACCATTGAGATCATTCAGGTTGAAATTTTGTGCTTCAAACATTAAGAATAGCTTGAGGATCTGAGAAGAAAACACAAGAATAAGTACTAAAGTGAAATAGTTAAAAGTTGTTGCATGTTAAGTTTATAATTAAACTCAGTACAAACCTCATTTTAAAAACAATAGCCTGCAAAAAGACATCTTTACTCTTGTTTTGTTTTTGTCTTGTTTTAATATTAGGGAGGTGTTCCTGTGGGCTTAGCATCTAAACCTTTTCAGATTCTGTATGGACACACTGATGAGGTATTGAGTGTTGGTATCAGCACTGAATTAGACATGGCAGTATCAGGATCAAGGGTAAGATTTTACTTTTAAAAATATTAAGTGGGGTTTGGTTGTTTTTGTTTTGTTTTTTAACAAATTCAGGGACACAATTTGTATTTTAAAAGTTATTCTATGGGAGTTGGTCAAAGTATAGTTTTCATAAAGTATGCATTTGGTGCAATAATCCTTCTTTCAGCTGTGTTCCCACTTTACTTTCTTTTGTGCTATTCTTTTACCTTAGATTTTTCCCTTTTTTTCTAATAATTTCTTTTTTTAGGATGGCACTGTGATTATACATACCATTCAGAAAGGACAATACCTGAGGACTTTACGGCCACCTAGTGAGAGTTCTCTGCTCCTGACCATTCGCAATTTGGCTATATCTTGGGAAGGACATATTGTGATCTACTCTAGCATTGAAGAAAAAACCAACATGAAGGTATTAAAGTATTTCATGCCTGAGAGCTAGACTACCTGTTGAACTTTTCTATGTATCATATATGAGCCATTTAAAAGGCAATATTTTCCTGTCATCATTTAATTGTTTATACTTTACCATCAGATGGACTTATACCACAATCTTGGCCTAAAATTTGTATTTTAGTTATTTCTATTGTCCTATATAATACATTATTAAAAACTAATTTCTTATTTTGTGATACCTTGCAAACTTAGTGATTTATTTTCCTGTAAATCATGTAACTTTTTAAAAATTAAGAGAATTTTTTTAAAGAATTTTTTATTAGTTAACTGGATGATATTTTAATTCTTTTGTGAGGAATAACATTTCTTGTTTAATATTTATTAACTTGGTGGGACTGATTGCAAATAACTCTAATACTGTTTATAGGAAGCTCAGGTGGCCTAGTGCTAAGAAGCTGATCTGCAATTCCAAAGGCACACAGCTCAAATCCACCATATGCTCCATGGGAGAAGGATAGACAGTCCTGTGCAGTTAACTACCTCTGAAAATCTGCTGGAGGGTCCAACCCAACAGCACACACCACCAAGAGCAACATAATATCATTTTCACACTACTATTATAAAAATAACTTTAGTTTTATTCCATAGTTTTAAAATACCCAGTAATTACTCTATTACAATCATAGTCTTAACTGGCAGTGTAAAAACTCAATTTCTATTTGAAATAACATTTTCCTCATCTAATCTTTGCAGGATAAAAATACATTGCATCTGTTTTCTGTAAATGGCAGATACTTAAGATCTCAAATCCTTCAAGAACAAGTATCAGATATATGTATAGTTGGAGAACATGTTGTCACAGGCAGTTTACAAGGATTCCTGTCTATAAGAGATCTCCACAGGTAAATGAAAATAATTAAAACATAAAAAAGATGGTAATAATTTTAACCTATATTGGAACCAAGAGTCGAAGATTTTGGCTTATCTGTTATTATATAAAATGTCTTTTTGTGGAAGCTAAGAATAAATGTGGACAGCTAAAGTATTTGTGGGCGGTTGTTGTTGTTATGTGCCGTCGAGTCGCCTGCAACTCATAGCGACCCTATGTACAACAGCCCTAAACTCCGCTCTGTCCTGTGCCAGTCGCACCGTCTCTGACACTCCCATCCCAATTATCCCAGTC